AAGTTTACCTTTATGTACAGAATCTGAATATCGCAAAATATTTTTTTTTAAAAATCGCAATAATATCGTATCGTGGGATGTATGGTGATTCCCACCTCTAATAGATAGATAGAATAATTTTAATTCAAACATGTAAATATAACTGAAATAATAAAAGAAAAGAAAAACTTCAAAACATCAAGTTTTCATGAAAATATCTATATCTACACAAGGTTGGTGCTCGAAGAGGATTGGGATGAAGTTGACACTTTTTCTATTCCCCCTTTTTTCACATTCCATTATTGACAAGTCAATATTCAGAAATTGGAAACTGAAATCAGAGGGTTGGAAATCCGTATGTACTGTTACTACACAGCTGCAAGTATAGTTAATGTGGAAAAATGTGTTACTGCCAAGTTAAAAGATATCATCAGACAATGTAAAGCGCCTTCAGGCAGCTGTTGTGATTTGGCACTGAAACTGAATTCAAGTGAAGTGAATTGATTTCTGCTTGATGAGCAACCAAAAGGAATTATTTATTTTTTGTTTGAGGGAGGGGGAACTTGATAAATGAATTTTATCAAGTTTGCACTGGAAAAATGTCTTCCATGAAAAGAAAAACAAGACCTCGGGGCTTTTTTTCATTTGTGTGTTTTATTTGAATCTAACAGAAATCATGAGATTTTTTTATCATTGTTTATTTAAAGTGCACTTTTTCTCTTGACCATGTGGATTGACAGGTGTTTGATATAATAAGAAGGCTGTTTTCTCTTTGCTCATATATTTTTCTTATATTCATTTTTTATCTTAAATTTTTGTTATTTCTTTTTAAATTCAGCGTTGCGTGAATTGATCACTTAAATCACAAATTTCAGAACATTATCTAACCCGAAGACAACTGGGACCACATCTGCACATCACACTGCTCTCTTCTTTCAGTCAAACATTGATGCAACTCACCAGCCATGTGCTCCTGACACTGAGGTCTATTCCTAAGTGAGACTGCAGCCACCTGACATCACTCTGTTTACTTTGTTTTTCTCAGATAAATGCATTTTGGATTTCTTACAACCTCATCATCTTGCCAAAGGAGTGCCAGTAGTGCAGCCCTGACCTGCACATGGTTCTGAGAACTTATGGTCTTGAACTGTCGATGCCACCCACACAGCCTCATCTTAAAAAGTAAAACTCATTTAATTAAAGTAAGAGCCCGGGAGTCGTCAAAAGCTGCATTACTATTATTGCAAGGGCATGTTTGTGACAAATGCCAACCATGACATATTGCATAGCACTACAGCTGCGCAATAAATGTTAACAACTTGAAAGGAGAACACAAAACAGAAATTGAAAAGCGTCTCTCTTAGAACTTGCATGTTCTTTGTGAGGCTCTAAATTGACATATATATATATCTCTACTGACTTTGAACTTGACATCGTCACCGAATGCAAATATTCTATTTCTTTCAACCAGTGGATGTAACGTTCAAAGACACGCAACCTCCGCACACACAATGGAAAGCCTCGTGGACCACCTCCAGGTTTATGTGTCTTGCTCAAGATCGCCATCTAGCGCTGCAAGCTCGTTAAACTGTGCGTGCTTTCACTCCTCAGGCGGATTCGGTGGATATACAACAACAGCAATAATCATTCTGTTGCCCAATTAACATCCCAATTAATGCAACACGGACTGCTGAGGACCGTCTCCGTGCACAGTCACACCCTTTTAACACCAACAGGAGCTGACTGCAATGGTTTAGTAATTGATCAACCAGCTGCTTAATTTGTGAACTACATCCACATGTAAAAGAGTCGACTGTGTGTCTGTTGGTGTGAAGTTTAGCCGTGGCGCTTGTAAACTGAACAGAAAAGCGGGGAGATGAACAAAGAGCCAACATGTGGTAAACAGGGCCAAACCGTACAGGGACGGGACAGCAGGACCGCTCAAAAATGAGTTATTAAACTAACTTTTGGGGGAAGCCAGCCTCATATTATCGCCAGAAAGACAACAGTTATTAAATCATTAAATCGCAAGAAATAGCAAGAGGTTATTGTGCTTATATGGTTCAAAATTTGGTTCAAAAGTGCTCATGTAGCACATATATATATATATATAGAGAGAGAGAGAGAGAGATTATTAATATTAGCAAATATCATTACAAGCTGCTTCCTGCTGAATAGTGATTTTTCGATATCCCCCTTAAACGAATAACTGTGCGTGTAGAAAAACACGATAAAATCATTTTTAGTGCTTACCTTTAGCGGGGATGCGTCATTTTAAAAGAGACTTTTTCAAACGATGCCGGTCCATGAACTCGAGTTAAGTCCTCAGCATCGGTGTCGGAGCACTTCTCAACTTGAGCGCAGAGTCTGTGCTGGTGCTCTGCTGCAGCGCCTCTTCACAGCACAGACAAAGAGCAGCGGACGCAGCGAGAGCAATGCCCCACTTCGCCTGCTACTTTGCATTGCTTAACAACCACTTCCTCCGCTCTTTAACAACACACCTTGGATCAACTTCAAATATTCCTTTTGAGCTGCAACAGCCTCCTGCATCTTCCTGCACTCCAGGAAGACTTTAAACCTGTCAAAATTATTATAACGTCTATAGTTATCTAAATGTTTACTATTAGCTGATAATAACAAGTGCTTCTAGCATAAAGTAGCAATAAAACAGCATGAAAACACCTTGTTACAAATAGAAGTTTAAGGTATTTCCCTTCTTTTTTGTGATCAGTGTCAGGGTCATTACTCCAAAAAGTAAAGTAAAGTAAAAAATGTACCTGACCTCTACCCACTTTGCTTCCAGCAACGCCCCAGGTCAAACCAGGGTCTGGTGGAAAGCCCGAGTCTACTAATGCCTGGCCTATTACTGGTACACAGTAGTCTCTGCCAGACCACTTGAGGGTGTCCCACTTCTATTGCCCAGTAATCCCAGAAAACACATGCTGACTGCCTACACCTTGAACACACATGGTCTGGTGCTTCTGTTGCCCCCCAGCGTCTGCAGAAGACAAGGGATGAAGGGATTAGCAGATAAACAACTCAGAGAAAAGGAGCATCTTACCAACAGTAAAATGTCGCTACATCTGTCACTACAACCATCTTCCTCTGCTTGTCCACCACTACTATGTTCAGTTGGTTTGTCCGTCGGTATCTGGAAGGGGCCTGTCCTTCCATGATGGTTCCTTGTCTTGCTCCTCTTCTTTCTTGGGTTTCTGCTGCCTGAGGTATTCGCTAAGCACGCAGTGAGTTGTGACTATCTTCCTGATGTACTCGTGGATGTTTGTTGTCTCATATGGAGCGTGGTTCTCACACTCACTAATCAGCCGCCTTCCTTCTGTTTAGCGTACAGCCTCGGGGTGAAACCCTCCATGCATGGTGGCTTCTATCGCCTCCTTTGGCCTGCTTATTATCCCAGCAGGGCAAAGGTGTTGATATCCTGGATCTTGTTATTACCATTCAGGTGACTCGGCAGGACTATGCCAGTTCACACCTGGCATACAGCTTGGTGTCATCCATGTAGAGGAAATGACCACTGCTCCATTCTCCATGGAGAAAGAGCATTTCCTTGGTGATGGTGACTTTGCTATTGGAGTTAGCCTCTACTGTTGTTTGCCACATCCCCATTGAGTTCCTAATGAAGGCTCTTAGGGTCCCGCTGATCTTGTATAGTTCTAGGCATTCCAGGATTCATGTGTGGGGCATTGAGTCATAGGCTTTCTTGTGGTCAATCCAGGCAATCCAGTAAACAGAATGGTTAGTCTGGTCTTACTGTCTTGGGCGACTGCTCTGTCTACCAAGAGCTGGTGTTTTGCTCCTCTGGTGTTTCTTGGCCAGTCGTTGGTTGCTGGACCCATTCTGGGTATTTTACTGTCTATGCATTTACTCTTGGCTTGTAGTTTGGTATCAAAATGCCAAGACTGCAACACCAAAAACACTCAGCTCCCTTTTTCAGTTTGGAACCTCACTATAGTGAAAAGTGAAGCCAGTGATGCTTTTGTATATCATGGTTCCATTAATTAAGTATAAAACAGGCAATTGTGACTGACAGTCTCAGTCATGCATGCAGTGTCGTCATATTTGAAATCCACCATGTGTCATATGTTAAATTCAAAAAAATAAAACCATACAAACAAAAAGTCCCTCAAACTCTCTTCTACAGACTCGTGGGTGACATGACCATGTCACGGCTGCTATGTTCATCTTTAATACACATTCTGTCTCTCTCATATGTTATAAGAACTTATATATAAGAACTTTTCTTTTACTTTGGTCGTACATTTAAATGACACAGAGATTAAAGTAGCACCAAAATTGTAACATTTACTGTTTTAGTACTAAAACACTAAAACTGTGCAATATAAATGAAGCTTTTAGTACACATCTGTAGTATTCCTTGATGCTTTGATATTAATGTAGTTTTGTTTAAATTTGTGGAAATTGTAAGGTTTACTATAATTACTTTTACGGTAGTGTTTTAGTATAGTTGTGTCAGGAAGGGCACTGGGCGCAAAACTGCCAAATGAAAACATACAGACAAGGGAGCAGCTCAGATTAGATTTGACTCTAACTGCCAACATGAAGATGAATTAAAGGCTTTAACGTTGCTTCATTTGGATAAACGGTAATGCAGCTTGGGAGCGTTAAGAGTTGATATAAGTGTTGGCTCTTATATCGCTGATCCGAGTCAGTACCGAGGTCATCAAAAAGACGAATCCCCATTACTGGCCTGAGTGAGCGTCCGACAGCACTTGAACGCAGCAAGACGCGGTACTGCTTGGGCGTCATGACGTCAGCAGTCGTGCCTTTCCTTCCGTGTTTCACGGAACTTTGCCGTGAATGTTTACAACCGTGTCTTCCCGCGTCTTGGCTGAACAGCAAGTTAGCG